TGGATGTTTTAACTGATCCAAAAAGTTTACCAAAATCTCAACAAACACAAATAGAAGAAGAAGAAGAAAAAGAAAAGGAAGAGAAAGAAAAAGAGAAAGTAATAATAATTTTCATAACTTAATCAATATATATGCATATGGTCATAAAAATAATTTAGGCTCCACCAGTAATTATGAATAAACATGCAGTTATAGATGATGAAACAATAGCAAGTAATGTTTCTGATACAATTAATAGACTACGAGATAGTCAATCAGCTGGATTAATGGGGAAAAGGTTTAAATATTATTTTATTATTTTATTTTGTTTTTGTAATATTGAATATATTTATTTTGTTAGACTTCGATATTTTCGTGAGAAACCAGTTGTTCCAATACGTCGTGATGGTTCAAGTCATTATCAACATTTGCGTTGTTATGCGATTGATGATAATCCACCATCAACAACAACTAATACAGTACATTTTGCTAATTCAATTAAATCATGATTTAATACAGACAATTTTATTTTGTTTATTTTCTAAAAAGTATTTCCTTTTTGTTATCGTGTGTGAATGCAAACGAAGCAAATAAATACATAATGATTTTGTATGAAAAAAGTAAATCAAAAGTCCCCGATTAGTTTCTGTTATGATCGTTATTAAAGTAGAAGATACTTTTTTCTTTAATCTATGAATGCATCAATGAAAAAATCAATAATAATATTTAGTCATTTTATGAACGCTTATATTTTTATTTTTAACGTTTTTTTTGAATCAAGTGGCCTTATATAGGAAATAGTTTGATGTAGTTTAGCAGGATTAAAATGAAAGAAACATATAAAAACATACAAACGAACGACACTTAGTGAAAAAGGGACAGATGAATATCGCTACGTCCGTTTGTACTTGTTTTTATTTTATTCTTTATTAAGCTGTGCCAGATTTGGTAATGGTAATCTTGGATTTTGTTTTGCCAGAATCCGAACCTAAGCCTTCAATTTTCTTGACAAGATCCATACCATCAACAACTTCACCAAAGACAACCTAATAGAAAAAAGAAAATCTATATATGAAATACGTAAAAATCTATTTAAAATATTACGTGTTTGCCATCGAGCCATGATGTTACTACTGTAGTAATAAAAAATTGCGAACCATTGGTATTTTTACCAGCATTGGCCATTGATAAAAGTCCTGGTTTTGTATGTTTGAGTTGAAAGTTTTCATCAGCGAATTTTTCACCATAGATGCTAAATGAAACGCAATTATATTTATCTAAATTACAAAGAAAAATCTCTCTTACCTCTTGCCACCAGTGCCATCACTATTAAAAAAATATATATCATATTTATCAAATATTGAAGTTTTTTTTTCTTGAACTTACCCTCGAGTGAAATCACCACCTTGAAGCATAAATTGTGGAATAACACGATGGAATGAACTTCCTTCATAACCAAATCCTTTTTCTCCTGTACATAATGCACGGAAATTAGCTAAAAAATAAAATATATTATTAATATTTCTAAAGGGCATATTTTATAAAATACCTGTCGTCTTTGGTACTACATCATCATAAAGCTAGATAAAAGAAAAATATCACGTATATCATAAAACAAAGCAAGTGTTTCTATCGTACTTTGAATGTAATACGACCAGCTGCTTTACCATCGATTGAAACATCGAAGAATACGTTGCCAGACATTATATCGAAGATTTGATTAAGAAGAAAAGTAGATCTAGAATATTATTTAACATTATCATCTTGGTGAAAACACCAGTTATTTAAAGAAACAACAGGAAAAAAATAATACAAAGTCCATTGCACAATATGTATAAACGCATATCTAAATAAGGAAAGAAGCATACACATAGCAAGAAAAAATAGATATATCAAACAACATCTGACAATAGGCCAATTAATAATACAGTAGGAAAAAAAAGATTGAGATTAGATTTATAGAAGAACATTGACTCAAAAACAAAAATAGAAAATGCCAGATGTTTAGAAGGTAAACGAAACACTGCAGACAAAAAAAGATGATTTTAATCGACATTTAATTCATTCATTAAACTATTTGCTGATTGTTCAAGAGAACATGACGGTAAATGTGATAACTAAAATAAAATACAATAGAATAGAATTATATATTCAATAATTTTTCACTTACACGAATTAAAATTGATGTACAATTCATTTCTTTAATAATCGATCTACATGATGAATTTTTTGCTAAATTATTTAATGTTCCAATAATAATTTCCATTAATACATCATATCGATTATTTTCTTCAGATAATTTCATTCGTTCATGATCAAGATTAATTAATAATTCAATTAATTTTCGAACAGCATTCTGTTCACATAGATATGGAATTATTGTTTGTGATAAACTTAAATTTTTTATTAAACCAACAGTTGCTTTTATTATTCCCCAATGTTCTTTAAAATTTTTATCTCGTAAAAATTTAACAATATTTCCAATTCCATAAGATTTTCTTATTGTTTCACGTGCTTCATTTTCTAAATCATGACGAGCTGTTATATGTCGAAGTGTACACAAAGCTACTTCAATAAGATCATCATTTCCATCTGTGTTCACCATTAAATTTTGCATGACTGTTTGTACACCATTTAATTTAACAAATAAACTCTTATTCGTTCGATTATCTGCTGTTAAATTACTAAGTATACCAAACGAACAGATAACTGATTGACGATCATCAGTTAATAATATTCCTGTTAGTTGTTGAATTAATGAATCAATATCACGCTAAAAAATAAAAAACATTGTTTTACAGTAGTCAGTATGCATTGTCACTATCTAAACTTTTCCTCTCCTATGAAACATTATTAACCACCACCCACATCCTCACCGCACAATGTATTATCAGTGTTTTATCTAGCGAAGAGGACTGTGTGGGCGGGGTGCACCTGAAATTTCTATTCATCCACTCAAAAAAACTGATAGGCGGCGCGTATCGAATATTTCGATTCGTACACTCAAACAAAGACACCCTGGATAAAACACGGTATATTATCAAAACAATGCTTACCATTCGTGTTGCTTGATTCGATATATTTCTTAATGTAATTAGACAATTATGTCTAATTCGAATACTTTTTGTTGTTCGTAAATGTTTTTCTAATATATTTAATCCATTTAATTGTAAAATAATACGTTTATTTAATTCATTTCCTGATGATATTATTGGAAGTAATTTTGATATTATTAATAATAATTTATCATATTTATTTGTATCAAATATAGATAAAAGACGCTGAATACATTGTTCATTGTTTTGTATAAATAATTTCGATTTTATATTATAACTTGACATTTTAAGTAAACTATCAGTTACTAATGTTAATAATTTATCATTTGAACTGTCTAATAAATTAATAAATTTTTTTATACCATCACATCGTTGAATTTCATCCGATGCTTGATCTTGAAGAACAATTAAAAAATTATGTAATGCTGTTATTGCAAAATTAACTGTATTATCAGCAGAACTATAGATACAAAAATAAAGATAATTTTTATAGAGAAAACAATAGTTTTCAAAAATCATACTCGAGGATTTGAATTAATCTTGCAATACCACCACAATCATATATGATACGTAAACCTTCTTGTTGTTGAGAAAGTGAATGAAATAAATTAGCTAATACATAAGTTATTTTTCCATCACCCGCATCTTTTGAGAAAGTTTCTAACAATGCATTAATTAACTAAAAAGATAAAAATAATTTATTAAATAAAGAAAATGATCAGATTTTTCTTTGTCATACCTCTCGATTTCGAATAACTTCTGATCGACTTTCACCACCTTCTTTAATTAATATATGTGTAAGTAAAACAGCTTCACGTATAATAACTGGATCATCTTCCATTAATAATGTGAGTAATTCAGGTATGACTTGAGTAGGATCTGGTTTTGTCGGAGGTTGTGTTGATTGCATTTCTGTATATTGTGGATGCGTATTTTCAAAATCATTTGATAAATGAGGAGGTATTTGTTCATAACCTGATGATGATCCATGATGATTAGGTGTATTACCTGTGGATTCATTACTACGTAATGAAGCCGGTCGAGAATTAAATCCTGAATCACGTTGTGATGGACATGCTGTTGACATTGAATATGGATCATCGAGCCACATTGATGTATGACTATCGGAACTAATTGGTTGTAATTGATTTGAGAGAAGAGGATGATGAGGATGATGCATTTGTGGTTTACCAGGATGAGGAATCTGATGATGCATTGAAGGCGGATAATCCATAATTATTAACTAGAGGGAAAAAGAAAAGAATCGTTCATGTACATTATTTCTATTATCTCTCTCTCTGTCTGTCTATTATTACATTTCAGAGAAATGCATTGTTATATGTTCATTATGCTTACCTAACTATATTTAATGTATGCGTCAATGATGAACTCGAGAACGAGAGAAAGAAAAATGAAAATAAAATGAAGAACACCAAGCAACCGACACGGCGGTCGCTCTTTGTCCGTTTTCAAACGGATATCCATTCGTCGTTGTCTTTTCTAAGCCAATAAAAACATCTCTTGGTTACTTGTAACTATCGAACCCTCTCTTTATCAATCTTTCCATATCCTTCTTAATCTATTGAAATTATTTTAGTTCTTCAATATATACAACAAATATTATGATATCAATATATATATATATTAATAGGAAACAATTTATAATTATTTTGATTAAAACGCCATCTATCAAGGTTAAAATTTGTACAATTGACATACAAGTGATTGTACGGACTTTTTAAAGATGAAAAGTTAAACTTATTGACCCACATTTTTCTTCTCCATTGTACTCGATTCAAGCCGAGGATGACATACGTATATTTTAATTACATAATCGAGATAATCGATTGACCATTTCTCAATTTATGAAATGAATTATGCAACTAGCGAAATATTCTTTTTTTTATTTCTCTGTATCGAAAAAAAACGTAACAATAGTAAAAGTGTTACATGCAATCTATTGCTACAAAACAGAGCATATTCACAGGGTTGAAAAAAAGCACGATATGTGAGAATTTTTCTAGCGGGAAAAATGGAAGCGTTGGTTCTGTTTTTTGTTTCTAAATTATTTTTGTGGTTTATCACTGTCTAATACACCACTATCGGCAATTGTAATCTTCTTTTGTGTTTTGCCTGATTGAGAGCCCATTGATTCAATTTTTTTTACTGTATCCATACCATCAATAACTTCACCAAAGACAACCTTAACAAATATTATATGTTATTCAATCAATATTTATTTTTATAGAATACATACATGTTTACCATCAAGCCATGGAGTTGATACTGTTGTAATAAAGAATTGAGAGCCATTTGTATTTTTACCTGCATTTGCCATTGAAAGTAAACCTTCTTTTGTATGGGTAATTTTAAAGCTACATTCAACAAAAATATTCTTTATTTTTGTATTTTTCATAAAACAAAAAATTATTTACTTTTCATCAGCAAATTTACTTCCATAAATACTATAACCACCAGTACCATTACTAAAATAAAAAACCCATCTCTATATGGTTCTTATGTAAAATAATAATCACTTACTGTCGTTCAAAATCTCCACCTTGTAACATAAATTTAGGAATTACTCGATGAAAAATTGAATTCTTATAACCAAAGCCCTTTTCACCAGTACATAATGCACGGAAATTTTCTATAAAAAACGAACATTTGTTTATTTTATTAAAAATAAATTTTATTTCTATACCTGCTGTTTTTGGAACAACATCATTATAAAGCTAAAAATAACAAAAAAAAGCTACTTAGATATATATTAGATTTAACTAACTTGAAATGTAATTCGTCCTAATGGTTTATCTTCAACATTAACATCACTAAATGTTAAAAAGTAAATAAATTATTGATAAATACATTGAAAAGAAATCAATTACAAATAAACTTTCGATCGAGGTGTATCATTTTTTGATGATCCACCACTGAATATTCCAAATGTTCGTTGTAAACCACAAGATTTCTGTGATAATTAAAATAATTATTTTGTTATCGATTGAATAAAAAGAATAAAACCTGAATATTTGATGATAAAACTGTGCGAAGTAGATTACGTGAAATCATTCTTATTATTTTCTTTTTTCTTTTCAAAAAATCTACAAATACAATGGAAGAACAAAAATTTATTCATTATCATTCGTCAAATCATGCGAAAAGAGACTAATCAAAGATATATTACACACACGCGCACACACAAAACATTACAGATCTCAAAGAAATGACAATAAATGTATTGATTAAAAGAGATATCTAATCCTCTGACGTAAATAGATAGATATATATATATATATGCACACAAATTGAAAAAATTCTACAACTACATTCATTTCAATTTCATAAGTCAGTATCAAACCAAGCCGCCATTTGTGAATTATTATGAGGTGGTGGTGGAGTTTGATGATGACTTGAAGAACGTGGTGATGCTTGCATCATATCACGATCGCCAACTAGCACTTGATTATCTATTAAACTTCCAAGACCACTACCACCTGCACCTTCTGATGCATAATAATTCATACTTGGTACATCATGTAAAGGTGGTGGAGTACTTCGATATGGATTTGAATAAGAACCACCACTTGAACCATTAACTAAGCCATAATGCTAAAATAAAAAGATAATTAATTTTTATTCGAACAACATTATAGGTTAAATAGTATGAAACATACTATAACAGAAAAACTAACTAAAGACCTTGATTTCTAGTGCACACACATCCGCGGGTAAACTTCTGTCCTCTTCTTCACCCTTTTTTTTCTGATAATCTCATCTGATTGTTTGCAGGTAAATTTTAAACATCAAGGACTCGCTAAGTACATTTTTTTATGATATGTTTGAGCACAGAATATGCCTCCTAAAGTTTTATTGAATAGCAATAAGTCAACTATCAATAAACCGTCTTTTTTACTCATAAAACAATTTTAAGATTCATAAGAACTTCAATAATTATCGATATTCTCTTTACTTGATTAACACTAAAGATTATTTCTAGTTTTTTTGAAAAATTAATAACCTACATTATTCATCAGGTGTTCATCACGATATAATGCTGATGTAACATCTTGAGATAAACGTTTTTTCATATCATATGGTTTATCATCAGATAAACGGAATAAAATTGCTGCAGCATATGTAGCTATAAATAAAAAAAAATAATATTTTTGAATAAATTACAAAATAAAAAATGTGAATAAACTAACCAACACCCTCATCATTCGATTTAAGTAATTCAGTTAATTTTTGTGTACAATTTTGTTTTTCAATTATATCAGCACATAAACGATCATTAACAAGTTCACATAAAACTCCTGCAGCTGCACGTTGAATTGATACATTTGATGGTGGATAGAGAAGCTATAGCGATTACCAAATTAAATTATTTCATATATATATTTAAAATGAAAAATTTCTTACTCGAACAAATAATGGAATACAATCAAGATCACGTATAATAACTCTATTTTGTTGATCTTTTGCAAGAATATGTAAGGCACTAACACATGCTTCAAGTATATCATCCATACGTATATAATTATCAATTAATTCCACATTAGGTTGTTGTCTTTGTAATTCTTGATGACTTCGAACAAGTAATTGAGCTAATTTTTGTATTGAACTTGTTTCACGTAATATTGGAAGATTATTTGGTGATAAAGCTAAATTTCTTATTAAACTTATAGTTGATTTAATAATAGGCCATGAATATAATGATGGATTAAGTAATTCAACAATTGGTAAAAGACCATTTAAATTTCTAACAGCATCTTGAGCTTCACTAGCATGTGAATGTCGAGATGTTATATGTCTTAAGGCACATATAGCTGGTTCTAAAATTTCTTCTTTATCCTGACCTTGAATTATTGTATTAATTAATGCATGTACACCATTTGATTGAACAACAGCCATTTTATTATATTGATTATTACATGTTAGATTCGATATAATACCAACTGCACATGATACAGTTATTAAATCATTTGTTTGTAATAATTCAATAAGTAAACGAAGAAGTGAATCAAGATTTTCCTGAAAAAAAAAAATGTTAAAAATAAGAATGTTTGTTTTTTTTTCTTTCAACGTACTAATTTAACAGCTTGATCAGATAGATTTCGAAGAATTTGTAAACAATTTTGTTGAACACGTAAACTTATTGGTTGATATAATTGTTTTTCAAGTATTTGAATTGCATTTTTTGATACCATAACTAATTTTATTGATGGACTAACAGATAAAACACGAAGAAGACGTGTTGTTGTCCATAAAAGTTTTTCATAATCAGTTAATTCTAATATACGTAATAATTGTTGTGGACCATTACTTGATTCAATAATAATCTAAACAATATATTATCGTTTAATAAACTTTTTCCAAAAAATGCTTATTCAAATAAAAATAAGTTATTTAAATTAAATAATATATAGGCTGCATAGGCGCGTTACCAAATAATAAACAAGAAGCTGTTTAGTCAATGATGCAAAACTTACCAAAGAAAAAGATATTCTGAATGAATGTGAAAGGAAACATATAAAACTAAAATCGAAAAAAAGCTCTTATCTTTGATTTACCTTAACTTCTTCATTATTAAAAGCTAACATATGAAGACAATCAGTAAGTATAGCTAAAAATTTTGGATTATTGCTGTTTAATAATCCAACCATTTTTTGACAACCACCACAACGAAGAATTTCTAATTTTGCATGTTCTAAATGTAATAATAAATTGTGTAATGTTGATAGTGCATAATTAACAACTGATTCCATTGATGAACTATAAGAGACAAATAAAAATATTATTTTCAAAAAAAAAATTATTTACTCTAATAATCGAACAAGAATTGGAATAATGCCACTTTTGAAAAGAAGAACAAGGCCTTGTTTTTGTTGTGATAAACAATGAAAAACTCCTGCAACACCACGACGTGTTTCATCATTAGCACGTGGATTTGATATAGCTTGAATTAATGCTTGAATCATTTGTGGTGTTGATAAAGCTAATCGACTAGCTTCTTTCTTAGCTAATGTATGTAAAATTAATGCGGCTTGTCCTGAAACAATTGGATCATCATCATTAAGTAAACGAATTAATTCCGGAAGAGCTTTTTCAGTTATTTCAGCATCTTCTTTATAATTAATTATATCAATAACAGCATTTTTTAATAATTGAGATGGTTCAGATAATTTTTGTACTGCTGTTGGTTGACCGTTAACAAATTGTGTTGAAGGCATTGGAGTTGATAAACCATTGGAAGCACCATCTTCAAGTGTTTCAGGAAAAATAGCAGCACGAATACGTTGTGCACGTGTTGAACTTAATTGAACATTCATTGATTCAATATGTTCTTGCATCATGTATTCATCCATTCCACCATTGCGGACATGAGAACGATGACCATGTCCATTCATTGAATTTGGCATTTGATATGATTCGTATTCCATAAGAATAAATTTCGAGTAAAAAAAAGAAATTAAACGTTCACAACCAATTGAAAGAATAATCAAACGAAACGATTGAACTGGATAAAAGTTAAACAGTACGCTTATTCGCCATATTGTTTATTTTATAGTACATTGAACAAGTTAAATAAATAAACAGAACAGAATGGACAAATAAGTAGTATCAATGATTTTTTTTTCGTAAAGAAATTTTTTTCAAATATTTTTTTGTTATTTAATTAAGAAAAATGATGGAAAATAAAGTTTGCAATGATGTTTGAAATGTTAATTAGTACAATAGATGGCGTGCATTGTTGTGATGCTATTGATCCGATATAATTGCTCTCTTAAGTTTAAACTTGAACTTTCCAAAATAATAAGAAGAAAATTATAATTCCTCTAAATAAAGTATTCTCGAATACATATAATATACTGAATTCTGATAGGAAATTTAATATGTAGATACTTGAATCATAGTTCAGAGTATTTATTAACAGTAAACGAAGATATTAAACAATAATTCCTGTTATGGACAACTATAATGAGCATTTCTTACGTTTCAAGTGTCGAGATAAATTTAAATACAATTCAACGAATATGTTAGTGATTATCTTATGAATAGTTTCTTCTGGCCAATTCCTGTAAATGAATGTTTTATGTTAATCCATACTAAAGACAATAGTAGTAAGACACATAATACTATTCAAACATCAACAAGCGTATGACAAACGCAAGTTAGTTGAGCTTTTGGTATTAAATATTATGTATCTATCACTTTAAGTTGACATTAATACTAGAGATGTACAACAAATACTATTAATATATCTCTATTGATACATTCAAATAGATATGAATAAGTTTTGTATTAACTAATTATTTATAAAATGATATCGAAGTAGAATATATTGAACCATCTTATTGATGTTCTTATACTTGAAGAATCTTTGAATAAACATATTACTACATATCTAATTACAATTGCCTGGTGGTATATTATATAATATATAGATTCATTATCGAATAAAGATAACCGGATATTAATTAATTTTTGATTTTTCATCGAAGAATGAATGAAAGTTTTCTAATTGAAATAAATTCATGTCGTAATACCATTCTTCTATTGATGTCTATAATAACTGATTCATGTTTCAAGTGTGCTCTACCGTAATATATAAGAAATAAATAACGAACAAAAGGAGAGGTGCAAAAATATATTGTGTGATTATATTCACATTATAGACATACATATTTCTAGTCACAATCACTTCAGTGCGACTGAAGTGTTCATACGATGGAATATGCTCACTTCAGACAAGGATTCAGTTAAGGGAATTCTACTATGAAATTAAAGTTTAATAGGATTTCACTATGCCTCTCTCTCTCTATCATATTTGCATGAAAGACAAAAAACTGTTACAACTCAAATATTCTATATTCTAATTGATTAATTACCTTAATTTTTTTATTTCTAAGAGTATACTCATCTAAAATGTTATTCTTTACTTTCTATATACAATAATCGAATTGTTCTGACAATACATCGATAATAGATCGTAAAAGACAAATGATAAACAATCGACTGAGGTTAAAAAAACATTGAGAAAGTTATAATAGCAAATCGATGTATACAAGAAGAATGTTTAGTAAATGAATGAGATTTTATAACAAAGATTACATATGATTTATTTATTATTATATATTTTTTTGTTGTATTATTTATATATATAATTGCTAATCTATCAATAACATAGAACAAATTGAATAAAAAATTTTAAAAAAAACTGAATAAAAAAAAACATGAAATTAACTTGAATATAAACTCGATTATCGATGAAAATAAAACAAAACAATCATGACTCCAATTAAATCTCTTCTATACAAACACTGTCAAATACTCGTTTAAATGTCGACTGTGTACATTTCTCGTGTTAAATTGTTGTTGTAATAATGCTGATGCTGATGTGCCAATATCGGTACCAGCACCACTGATCGATGACTGAAAAGATAAAATATATTATTATAAATGAATATTCTAATGTTTTTTTGTTATCATGCAGTTTATATTAGATGCACGCATATAGTAAGTAAAGCAAAACTATTTATATATATATGTAGATGTTAGTTATACAATAAAACAAAAAAAGCAATGACAAACAAAACTAAATTTAGCAACGAGTAGAAGCAATCGGGCTGAATCGAGCGTTACAATAACTAAAGCTGTTGGATCCTACTTCAACTGTTGTTGGTGATGTTGTTTGTTGTCGACAAGCATCATCAATGGTTGTCGCACCTGAGGAGGAGGGAGAAGAGGAAGATAATAATAAGTGAGTTGACGTGCTCGATAATAATGAATAACAATAAGTACACACATGATTAATAAAATTATTAGATTTAGAGCAAGCAAGATAAGCGTTAGTGTTTGGTTTTAATTTATTGTCTACCTCATGAGATTCTGATATAATATCCATAGAATCTTCTGGTATAACTTGACGTCTTAGATCTATTGAACGTCTTTGATGTTGTTGTTGTTGTTGTTGTTGATTATTAACCCATTGTATATCTTCATTGATTGTATCTAAATGTTGATGATCATTTGTTTCACGTACAGTTGTACGAAATGATCCTGCATTTGTTGGCGCAGGTCGATCAGACATGTCAGAAGAACTTGATGAACTACTTGTTGAACGATTATCATATGTAGATAATAATTCTTCAATTGTTGTATTTATTGGTGGTTCACTAACTTTATAATGTCCTGATAGAAGACGATTATTTATCGGAGATGATGATGTTTGATCACTACTATGTGATGAATCATCATCACGTACACCTAATGCATATGGTGATGATTCATTAATTGGAGTTTTAGATTTTAAAAATGATAAACCTTGTGCAGATGAATTTTGACGAATTTTAAAAAATGGTGGAACACGATGTTTAGCACGTTGTATATTATAATAAATAATAATAAATAATATTGCAACTATAATAAGTATAAATGCACTAACACTTGCTATAATAGCATATGTTGTACTATTATCTGTTGATCGTGATGTAATTAATGTTGATGTTGGAATTATATTTAATGGAAAATTACGAATTGTAACAATTACATCCGTTGATATATTCATTTTTAATGTTGAACATATTTGTTGAGCAATAATTTGAAATTGATATGCTTCTTGTATTGGTGAATTTGAGGAATTTAACCATGTTAAATTACCTGCAGAGGAAATAGAAAATATGGAATTATATTGACCAACTAGAAAATATTGCACTTGACAACGATTATCTTTAACAATCTAAAGTAATTAATTTGAAATTTCTAAAAAAATAAAAAAATGATTTTCATACTTGAGCAGTACCAATAGTTGTTAATGAATCATTAAGTGGATAATCAGCTGAGAATAAATAAGAATTCATTAAAAATGATATTGGTGTATATAAATAAATATTAAGATATGCTTGATCCGACTAAAAAAACACAATGAAGTAAATACTATATTGTAAAAAAAACTTACATATTGTCCATCAGATACATTTAAAATACATGAACAAGATTGACATACTGGAAGATTTTGAAAATTCATTAATTGAACTCGAAATTGACGAAGACTATTTCATTGAAAAAAAAACATCGAAAGTTAACTGATTTAGCGAAGAAAAAATATTTTACCTAGTTTTTATAATTTGTAAATTGAGTGGTGATAAATCACATGAATAACCATAAGCTAATCTTGGATTCTAGAAAAAGAAACGAAAAATAGCAGTTAAATATTTTTTTTTGAATTATTTCTTTACTATATCTAAATCACTGATCGTTCCATTAAATGTTGGTATTTGATCAAGACTATTTATTGTATATCCAATTATTGTATATGGTAACAAAAGAAATCTTGGTGGATAAAGATTTAATTCATAAACATTAACATGTAACACAGTTGTTACGGATTTATTAGGATCATTTTCTTGTTCAGCCTAAGTAAATGAAATATTATTTCTTTCAGATGAACAATGATTTTTTTTACTTTAATTAATAAATCGAATTGTGTTATTGAATCAAAAGGTGATTGAAGGGTTAGAATTCCAGTATATTTATCGATTGTAAAATAAATATCTTAAAATAAATATAGATATATATATACATAAATTCTATTTTATTCATACTTGATGTTAAAAAAGAATAGAGTATTGTACTATTTATTCCAATATCTTGATCATAAGCATATATTCGACCTTCATTGGGTACTACTTCATATCCCTAATATAAAAAGAAATATAAATCTTTAAACAAGAAAATCCAAAAATGAAATATACAATTCTTGTATCAATAGAAATATTAACATTGTAAGATGTTGAGACTTGAAATTTTGGATCTAAATTATCAACATCAATGAGATGTATTGAAATAATTGCTTGAGATGAAAGTGGTGGATTTCCATTATCCTATAAAATAAAACTGCTTAGAAAAAAAGAACTATGTTTGATATTAATTGATTTTACTTGTGCAGAAATTGTTAGATTAATATTTGGTATCATAGAATTATAATCAAGAGGTCGAGTTAAAATAATACTTGCATTTGTTGAACTTGCCAATCGAAAATAGGACTAAAAAATATAAAAGAAATTTTTAAATTATCTTTTCAAAAAAAAAATTTCTTACAATAAAAGAAGAGGAATTATTTTGTAAATAATATGAAAATGTGCCTGATACACCCGAATCAGGATCAGAAGCTGATATAGATGTTGATATGATTGAATTAATGGGTGTTGTTTCAGTTAGGTTTATATAAAAAATCGGTTGGGAGAATCGAGGTGGGTTATCATTAATATCAATAAGATCAAGTTGAAAATCAATATCATGTATGGATTCATCAGCTAAAATTGTGCATTCAACAATAAAACGAAATGGATTTGGATAACTATTTGATGTCCACCATTCATAGTCAAGAGCTAAAGAAATATAAAGAATTTGTTTAGTTTTATTTCTTAATTCAAACTTACGAGAACGTAAATAAAGATCAGTAAAATTTAATGTAAAATAATCAGTTCCATTTGTTTTTACATCGGAACTATTATAAATAAGTCGAGTTGCAATTTCAGATGATGTACCAGTGATTTGCAGACGTGCAACAAGACTTCCTGGTTGAGTATTTTCGGGCATTGTTATTATTTGAAGTGCAGGTAAAAATTGAAGTGTACATGGTTGACCTAGAGAAATCATTGACATATATATTTTAATTTTCCATAAAATATGATCGTTTGACATTAATCTTTTTCGAAAATAAACGTGTTTAAAGAGTTGATTAAAGTATTATAAGCGGTACATTTGATTCTATTATCACAGATATATGTTTTGAACAATTGAAAATAAATCATTGAATTCTATCAATCATTTCTCATTCACTCGAATTACCATTAGTCATTTTATATGTATATTCTGTTTGTTTGTTGATCTATTCTAAAGTTATTTCTCTTTTGTTTTTAGTCTTCTTTATTTTTTTGCTTTTCTATAGAAATATAACAATAATCAATGAATACTAATTAGTTGAACTCAAGCGTCAATGCCATTTAACACATACGGTGACCGTTCACTCACCACTACACTTAAAAGTTGACCATGTCTAAGTACAAGAAAGACTTACCTTGTGCACGCGTTGTTATAACCATTAAACATAGCAGCACGAGGCTGATTTCGTTGATGATGAGAGTGCTCATCGACCAAACGATGGATGACCATCAATTACAATAGCAGACAATCTTAATGAAAAAATAAAACATACATATTGTCTATATAAAAAAAATCTTCACAAAAGAAATTTTATTCATTATGTTCTTGAATTATTCAAACAGAAGAATACTTCTCTATGCTTTATTTTAGTAGAAGGCAATCTTTTGATTTGACTATATACTATAATGGATGTAATGCTCATATTTTATGTATATGTGTAAAAAAAAAATTTTCTTTTGACTATTTCCATCCGTCTTACCTTCTTTCTATTGTTAAATTTCGAACGTGCCTAGTTTAGTCTGCCTTTCTTTTGTTTCTGTTATGTTCAGGTGATTACGCGCATACATACGCATACACATATACACACATACACATATATATATATATACTCATAAGATGCGACTCTCGTTGTTCCCATCAGCAACTATGTAAAATAAAAGCCTAAGTTATTCGTTGTTCTTTACCATCACCTCAAATACACAACATCATTATTCAAGTGCGTCTACCTATGTACGCTCAATGTGTCACAGAAAATTCCGAAGGGTAATTTATGTAAACATTACTCTGCATGTATATATGTGTTACGGTCAAAATTGGCATTTAGTCAAAGCCCAAGCTGCTCCTTCGGACTAAATTAGAATATTATTTTAATGAACTGTAAAATGACGAAGAAGAAAAAAAGCAGCAATAATAAAAATATGATTGCGGTCAAGGATGATGATGAGAGGAAAGTCTAAATGAGGATACAGGAAGTCGTCCTCATTAGTAAGAGAGTTGTTAATAAGAATGAGTTCTAATAAGACTGTGCTTTTATATAATTAGCTATTTCAATCTCTTTCTTTCATAGTTACTTTTCTACAATCTTAAAGTTCATTGAAATAGTATTCGAATTTTATTTGATTAAAATTAGAATGCTAAATGTGAATGCATATATATATATATATATACAAGATAATCTAATATGGATAAATGTTGACTAAGAGAAATAGGCGGATTTATAAATAAGATAATCTTTAATCAGATACTTAAATAGATTTATTGTTTAATAAATATAAATCTAAGATATGAATACGACTTACCTGTAATGTTCAGTCAATTTTGAAAATGACTGTGATCGATTAACGTTTAAAGTATTATTGTTATTTGTTTGACTATAACAAACTTTTGTTCAATTCAATGCCAAATCTGTTTAACTTTTGCATCAACATGCTCAATCAAATCTATAATGATCATAAAAAGAGAAAAAGACAGAATGTGTACATATACAATTGAAATATAATGTCTCGAAAAGAAAAAAAAAGAGAGAGTGAAAGAAAGAACTGCGTATAATAAGCAAAAGAGAGAAGAAAGAGAGCACACCTTTTTTCTTCTCTTTTCACCCAATTACTATTGAAAAGAGAAAGAGCGAGAGAGAGGGAGAGCAAACATCTACGTAAGTGCAATATAGTACCATCCTCTTCAGAATAAGATTACCCTTGAAACCTTTTATTCATTTGATTTCTTCTTTTTTTTTTTTGTTTAATGAGTAAAAGAAAAAGAACCAATAAATGTCACAACATCCGTATTTTATTTCATGAATCATTCAAAGTGAATAATTAAAATATTATCTTTCCTAGTTTTAATTAACATCTGCTTTAATTCAATTTTAAGATAGAATATTCGCAGACAAAACAAAACAAAAGGAAAAGAAATATTTCCGGAAATCAACTAGCTTGTTGTTCATTAAACAACGAAGAGT